GTGAGAGAGAGAGAGAGAGAGACGGTAAGACTAAGTAAAATACTCAGTCTACTTGAAACATTTGAGTACATTTCAGCAATTGAAAAGTTAAACTAGTCTGACCAAAGGGATATGTCGAAACGAAAAAGTATGTAATAAGGTAAAGAGGGTAAGGTTACAAAAAAGTTTTTTCACTGGTTAAGTGTATAACAAGTCGAATGATTGAACTACCTTCTTTTCTATGTAGAATTCAGGCTTTAAAAAGTATGAATCATCATGCTGTAGTGGGCGTTGCTGATAAGAGTGGGTATAAGTAGTATGTGTTGAGAGGGTGACAGAAATCATAGGCAGTGACCAGCAATGGGTAAAGATTCCGTCAAGAGAAACGCAAGAGACAAGGCAGGCGTATAAAGAACAAATCAAGAAAGAAGTAGAAGAGGAAATGAAGCATATTTTCTTGGTATTGGCTGTGAAGTTGACTAAACTACTTCGAAGAGCACTTCCCAGGTGAGTGAGGAGTTTCAGGAGCAGTTGCTGGCTGCACAGTTCACCGACAGTGTCCTGAATGTCATCACCCAGCAGCTACAACTAGTCAACGCGGCCCAACCCATGGATATTAGTGAGATGGCCAAGGTGACCAGACAGTGAGCGCAGCGGTGATACGATATATCGTCGCAGATCACAGTGTGCCGAAAATGATACTGACTGACCAAGGTCCTTGCTTGGAGAGTGAAGAATTCAAGTCTTGTTTGAGGCAGCTTGATATCAAGAAGATAAGAATGACGCCGTACCACTCGCAGACTAACGGTTCGACAGAACGGAATAACCACACACTTAAGGACTGATTGGCTTCGAAAGGAGGGAATTGGGAGACAGAACTGCCGTTTATATCATTAGCTCATCGTGCCTCGGTGCAAGGAACAACCAAGAAGTCGTCTTTCCAGTTAATGTATGGCAGGAAATCACGCCTCGGAATACATAGCAAGACCTGGCCCCAACAACAGCCATGGAACATGACAAGATTGAGAGAGGAGCGCAAACAGGCTATCAGAAATGTGGAACAGAAACAGGAAGCTGATACTGAAAAATCTGAGCAGAGAGAAGGAAGTAAATGGAAACCATTTGAGGTTGGAGATCAGGTGAAATGTAAAGAACGAGGGTATACGCCGGGAGGTCAATATGGCAGAAGGAAACTACTTCTGAAGTTAGAAGGACCATAAATCGTTAATGATAGATGCGGTTCACTTTATACCATCAAGAAAGTGGACAAAGAGAGAAAAGTAAACACCAGACTACTTCCGAAATGAAAGCGGTGAGAAAAAGACCAACCTATGCATGAACACCAAGAGGAAACAGCAGCAAGACGATCAACAGGGTTGCAAGCCCGGAATCTTGAGGGGGAGGGGGGGACAAGTATGGTGGGCGTTGCTGATAAAAATGGATTCAAGCAGTATATGTTGAGAGGGTGGCAGAAGTCATAGGCTTATTCCAATACTTTCTATAGTTTAGTAAAGTTTATGTCCGCACAGATTTCATGGGCTTCTCATGTTCTTTGTAGGTGACATTTAAGATCCACCTGGCGTTCAGTGAGCCCCTATGCGGACCCTTGATACTATCTGAATGTTCATTATGTTGTAGTTTACTTGGTGGCGACATTTCGTTCTGTTCGGGACTTGTCACCTGGATGTACCTGGTGATAGTGTTTCAACTGAGACTCGAACTCTGTAACCATCACTACAAATAACAGAACATTATCCAATTGGCCACTATGACACAAGAGTCACTCCTTGGGCAACGGATATTAGTTGGTATTTATTAATGACATCAGCAGTGCTGATGTTAAGATCTTTTATGATACATAGAAGGGAACAAATTCCATTTTGTGTTTAGAAGGATCCAACTATAGACGTTTATGAACTATGCGTTGCATACAGGCTTTCAGGCTTTTCCATATCCTGTTAATTGTGTATTTAGAAAGCATATTTATAAAATCAATTCTGGATTGCTGACTGAAATAAAGACGCCAATTGGTTATTTTATCAATAGTTACAGTGGCTTTCAGTCAGGAGGAATGAAATGTTGCTTATACGTTACGTGTATCCAAAGGTTGTATCAAGTGTAAAAATAAACAAGCATTAATGACCATTTCAAGACCTCTTTTGCTGGACAAGCTAGCTGGCACACAAAGTAAGTTCTGTGTAACCAATCAACTAACTGTATTCCCATTTCTCTGAAAGGAAACAATATACAGTTCATAAAGGGAAGCACTCCATCTCATTACTTACTGTGACTGATGTTCCCCAATGTGTTATTCTGTCATCCGATCTTTTCCCTTTCTTTCTCTGTGACTTGCCACATCCTTAGGTAGTACCAATCCTGTAAAATATGCTGATGATTTCATAGTTTTCATACCTTTCTCCTCTTCAATATATTGTTTTGGACGTAAACATAACCAATGTAAACTGTTTAGTTCTCATGATTCCTGACAGTTATGTATTGGAGAATTTCGTAGGTGTAATTTATCTCTGTGTGTGTTTTCCTTCAGATTTTTCCTGGTCCTTCCATATCTTGCTAATTCCCGAAAAAATACTTCGTCTAACCTTCTATATTACGAAGTTCAGAGTATTTCATATTACTCAGCCTCTGATCTTGTGTTTCATAAACTCCTGTATCTTGTTTCCCTTTATTTCTTTCTCAGATTGCTGAAAAAAAAACTACGCTGTATTGCGTAGAACTTTGAAGATTGTCAGCTCATTTTCATGAAACCAGGATGCACGCTTCGTCCTGCTTCAGATATGTCAGCTGGATGACTTTTTATCCCAGTGAGTCTCAAACCCAGACCACAGATCCACGAGTTACTTTTAAAGAAACTGACCACAACGACATGAACGAATAACTAAGCTTTGAGGGAGTTGTGGAGATTTGGAATTATTTCAAGTTGTTATTCATCGTAGACTGACGTCAGTTGGAGGAACAAAGGAAACATGGGAGTACTGGATAGCTGTTTCGTCCTAGTATGGGACTCCTCAGCAGTGCGCACCCACGACCCCACCAGCAGGGATCGAACCCGCGACCTTCAGGTTCCGCGACCAGCGCGTTACCATTGAGCCACTGGGTCAGAATCCAATGCTCCATATTTCTAACTTCTGTTAGCTCACGATATAGCGCAAACCGTCACCCAATGTCATCGTTGAGTATTTGTCCTCACGGCCATCAGGCTTTGACTCCACCGGTCACGACTTGTCATTGGAACTTCGGGAATACTTTTCGAAGCTAGTCACCAATATCGTGAGCTAACAGAAGTTGGAAATATGGAGCATTGGATTCTGATCCAGTGGCTCAATGGTAACGCGCTGGCCACGGAACCTGAAGGTCGCGGGTTCGACCCCTGCTGGTGTGGGGTCGTGGGTGCGCACTGCTGAAAAGCCCTATACTAGTCGGACGAAACAGCTGTCCAGTGCTCCCATGTTTCCTTTGTTCCTCCAACTGATGTCAGTCTACGATGAATAACAACTTGGAATAACTAAGCGTAGATATTCGATACGAAGTAAGATTAATTCTTTGTAATGGCAAAACTTTCCTAAAATATAACATCCAGATGATGGGTCCCAAAGAGAACGAAACGCGCGTCCTGGATCCTTATGCTGGTCACCAGCAGCAATATAACAGGAGCCCATCTGCCAACCGTGACCGAGCAATTTGGCCCTGTATAGCAACGGGAAATCACAAGTATCATTACAATAAATGATACCCATTCAACAAGAGAGGTGGATATTGTATCCCAGTGGTTTAGTAGATAACGCTATGACGTTTGAAGCGAAGTATACTGGGTTCCAGCCTCAGTCAGAACAACATCACTCTGCACCGTGGTGCAGTTACATCCAGTTGACGAATCCCTAACAGGAAGAAAGGCGAGTCCTCGATTCGTTTGCTAGTCACCAAGATGAATATAACTGGCTAGCGTCTGCATATCAGTTGTATAATATATCTGCGTACGAGTTATATACTCCATCAATACCTATGAAAGACCTGATGTATACATCTTCTATTCAATCAACAAAGGAATTACAGTGAATCCCATGAATGGCAGACGTATGGAGTATATAGTGATCGATCTATACAACGGTTAGTTAACTTACATTCAATCTGGGATCCATATAGATTTCAAAAACAGCTACCACGTTGTCTACCTCATCCTAAGTTCAAAATGTCATTTCAGTGATTTTAGAAGATAGTGTGTCGAATATAATCGTCGATACGCAACAGTAATCCGCAATACTTTTAATCTATACAGCTATGTTGTGCCCAGATAACACCATAAATAGCCTAGTTTAACTACTTCACCTTAGACAGACTACTGAATCTAATGCAGGTGAACTCTATCCGAAACGAGAAGAATAACCACTTCGTATTGCATCATTAATGCTCCAACTCAAACTGTGGTCTCCTTCGAAATAAGTTTTCTTGCATTTTTGTTGTTGTTGTTGTTGAAAAGTCATTTTTCAACAGAAAGGCGGTGGGTACAAAATCCGAGTCTTAGCAGGGACAACTACACTAACTGAGAAACAATTCCAAATGGGACGAAACGTGTCTTCATGGATCCCATCACTGGCAACTTTCAAGTCAATCACAACATAATGGAAAGTTAGGCAGTACTGGGACCTCCACATAGGAGCCTATATGTCAACAAAGGTCAAGCAATTCGATCCAGTAAAACAACACAGAATTACAAGTATATCAATAAATAGTAATAACTAATACCCGTTGTACAAGAAGTGGCTATCGCAACCGGGTGGCATTTCACGTGATGGATACAAGACTTGAATTTCAGTGGGAACAATATCACTCACTGGGGGCCAAGTACATTCAGCTGAGGAGTCCTAGATAGGACGAAACAGCCATCCTGGATTCCTCTGCTATCCACAACCAGATAAATTGTAACAAGAAAAACGCTTGTCAACAAATTATTATATATATATATATATATATATATATATATATATATATATATATATATATAATATATATATATTACAGTATCATATTTTTACACAAATTAACTTAATCTCTCATACCATTAGTGTGTAGAAGAACAAGAAGATGGGAAGAGTGACAAATAAATAGAAGTTCCATATTTGTTATCATCAGTGTTTCTCTTTAGGTGGGACAATCACCACTGGAATATGAGCATGATGTAGGACATATTCTGAGACACTGCCAAGAAAAGTACGTCGAACTGCACCAAGACCTCTATTCCCATGATAATGACCTTCGCATTATGATCTTCAATTGATTTCAACAATGCTTGACCTGGTCGAGTGTCAACATGAAGAAAGGCTTGACAATTAATACCAAGATGTTTCGCTTCAGTTATATACTTCTTGCCTAATAACTTTCCTTTATCAATACTGTCCTGCATCATTTTAGTGATATCAGTTAAAGCTGGTGATTCCATTGCTAAGCCAATAGCAGGTGTTGTGTAGATCGGTTCAACAATATTGACAAATTTTACAATATCCGTTGGACGATTCATATTCTCTGAATACCATAGAAATGCTCGTTCTGCATGTTCACTGCCATCAATCGGGATTAGAACCACTCTTGCCGTCGCCTCAGATTCGCTCATTGTATATTGAAATGCCAAATAATTCCAACGATTTGTATATTATGCATTAGACATGATTATTTCCACTTTCTAAAGGATGAACAACCTTGATTGTGATTGGTCGACCAGATGACCTTGACAATTAATCCAATAGTTTCTCAAATATTCTAAACCAGTTGTTATAGGCCTACAGTTTATGTCTCGTGAACGTAAAGGCTAAACGTTTTTCCTGCCATTTTCTGTACTGTAATGTTACATAGTTTATTGGCGGAAAATATGCAGTGAAAAGTTGGGTATAGATTAACGATGTATTTGCTTCAACATGCTATGTGCGTAGGCACCGTGTGAGCAGAATAAATTAACTTTGTTTTCTAGCATAATCAGACGCTTCCACCAAGAAGAATAACCTTGGTGGGTAAACCCCTTCGCTATAGATGGGAACAGTCTAGGATAGGATGTGTCTTCAGCTCTATATACATCAATATATATAGTTCAGTGCATGAATTGAGCAAGTTATCGAAAGGCTGTTGTTAAATATTTTAAGCAAGGTCTTTATGAGGCCGTCTATCCTCTTCTCTAGACCAGTATCACTTAACGAGTTCATGCTTAACACTATACAAATTCATAATAGCCTGACTTGTTAGAAAAAGAATAATAATCATCATTTGCCATTCTTAGATGTGCTCATCAGTTGACGAGAAGATGGTTCAATAAGACTGGCAGTCTACAGAAAGCCTACGTAGATAGGAAATCATATCTATACATCAAATTACTGACTGTAACACTTGTGGAAGTGGGATATCCACTGAAGGTTTATTAACCATTGTAGAAATGAGGTAGCAATGAAACCAACTCTATACACAGTTCCTAAGAAAAGTGTCTACATCACTCTATTATACACAGGAGAGTTGAATTGTATCATTTTGAGATGTAAGGTTAACACCATCTTTTAGGAAAACGTATGATCGAGGTAAGATTATGATTATGGGAAAGATAAAATACATACTTCACCACCACATTGCATCAAATGATTACGTCACAACCCACTGGGTCAACCAGTTCACATGTGTGTATAGTCACATATACATTATTATTATTTGTCCCTTGGGTTCCTAATGGAACATAGGGATTCAGTAGCACGTCTACATTCCACTCTGATCTCTGAAAACTTTTCAACCTGGTTCCACGACAGCTCAGAAGCTCTCATTTCTTCCCCACACCATCTCCTCCATGTCAACCTCGCCTCGGACACCCAACTCGTCGTTTCCCATTCGGGTTCCACTCGAGCGCCTGACCTGGAGCGTGATGTCCCCGAACGCTCTTCTTAGTGCATGCCCAACACATCTCCACTTCCTTCCAGTGCATATTTGTTGGGCGATAGGTTCTTGCTTCGTTGGTTCGTTGCCAGCCAGCCAGCCAGCCAGAGTTCCTTCTTGCTTATTCTTATTATTCTGGCCATCTGATCTTCAGTATCGAGCCAGCGTAGGTGGCAGCTATTGATGAATGTGTCTGGTTGTTGGAAGTGCTTTTCGTAACGCGCCAAGTCTCTGAGTCATACAGAAGCACTGACTTGACATGTCACCACTGACCCACTCGGTTGGGATCCAGTGGTCCATATTTCCTACTTCTGTCAGATCACGACACAGCGCGACCATCACCCCATGTCATCGCTGAATATTTGTCTTCATGGCCATAAGGTTTGCCCCATCGGTCATGACTTCTCACTGAAACTTCAGGAATCACCAGTGAGCACTAGATCAATTTAATTTGGAGGTCTGTGGGGATTTAATGATTTTTTTCAAGCTGGTATCCATCATGGACTGACATCATGAACTGACAGAAGTCTGAAATATGAACCATTGGTTTCTGACCCAGTGGATCAATGGTAACGTGCTGGCCATGGAACCTGAAGGTCCTGGGCTCGACTCTAGATGGGTGCCCACAGCTGAGGAGTCCCATACAAATGGGATGAAACAGCTGTTCAGTGCTCCCAGAGTTTTTTTTTCTAACAATCCTCCAACTAATGTCAGTCTATGATGAATATCACCATGAAATCAATCGTTTCCCATAAACCTTGTGGAAATTAACCACAATCAAGCTAGAAAGTGATGTTGACGTATTATATACAGAGACTGTAGCGCACATTACTTTCCACTGAACTGTAAATAAGTTATTACAAGTTTATATACAAGTATTACTTTCAAATCAACAACTATGTATACAAACAGGACGAAAATGTGAATGATATCATTCGAGAGATATTCATAAATCCTCTTCTATGTTCAAGGAGAGATTGACAAAATCAATAAAATTCTACCATCTTTGAAGTGACCAATCAGAAGTGAGCAAGTTATTCATTAACTTTTCATACACCAATGATTTATAACTTCTTTCCATTACACAGACAATGATGAATTGTGGTGAAAAAGGAACAAAGAGAACTGCCACTAACTGTAGAACTATGATTATTGTATTCATTAAAAGTTTGCAGTTCGACTCCAGAAATCTAAAAAATTAACCTTTACGGGTTAAAACCATAACTTAGAAAGTTAGGGTTCACGCTTTGGAAATCTGGGAGGAGTGGATAGCGCTCACTGGTGACAAGCTTCGAAAGGTGATTCCCGAAGTCCCAATGAGAAGTCATGAACAGTGGAGTCAAACAAGTCGAATATGAGGACAGTTACTCAATGACGATACATTGGATGGAAGTCAGGGTATATCGTGAACTGAAAGAATTGGGGAATATTGACCATTGAATTCCGACTCAGTGAATTAATAGTAATGTGGGGGCCACAACACTTGAAAGTCCTGATTTCTATCCCTGGTATGGTCATTAGTGAGCACTGTTGAGAAGTCCCAGACAAGTAGGACGAAACAGTTGTCCAGTGCTACTAGGTTTGTTTCTAATGTTTCTCCATCTGATGTCAATCCATGATGAATACCAACCTGATATTAAGAAACAGATTATAAATGAGCAAAATTCCAAGAAGGATGTTCAGTTTTGGCACTAGTGAGTAAACAAGAACATACGTTTTAGCTTTCGCCTATTCTACGGCCTACGGGTAGCTTTCAGTCCACTGAACAATGTTGGCGTCTTGAAGTGAGAGTTATAATTTGAGACTGAAATGAACATTTCATTGATTCATCCAAAAATATTTCACTTTCAGGCAATAGTAGTCTTATAGAAAATAGTACAAAATCGATGATTGACATGACATCATCATGTGGAACCTAATTTCTTCTCATAGTCATCTCAGTGACTAGCAATGGAATCTAGGATAGGTGTTTCGTTCTATTTGGGATTCGTCAGCTGAATGTGCCTACACTTCGGCGAATGGTACTGTTCCTTTTGGAAATCAAACTAAGTATTCACCGCTTCAAACTTCGAAGCGGATTGCTCAATGTTGGCATGATCTCTTGACTTCACCCTGTATACCAGTGTTAAAGTGAATCGATTAACTTTTTCAGTGAAGTCATCAATGTACCAGTGAACAAAAGTTAATCAATGCTGTTTTTCTGAGATAGGAAAGATGAAAACACTGTCTCAAAATACACAATGAATCTGTTGAAGGAGACCAGTTGGTTCTTACATATCTTGTAACTCCTTGTATGTAGTCACAGCTGAGCTTCAAGTTCCAGATCAGCCCATGACCATACTCACACACACCCCGCTGGCCTTTATGAGTGTGACACATCCCACTGAAATCTCCACAACCTTGCAGATTGACTACGGATCACCTTCTCGAAAGAGATATTCACGGCCAATGAAACCATGATGCCAAGGGGCTCACAGTGGTAGCTTTGTTTCGGCTACTGAAATACGGTCAAGACTATGGCTAAGAACAATGACATTCCGCATGGAATATGTCTTTCTTCTGCAAGGTAAAACTAAACTTACCTGCAGGAATTAAGCAGCTGGATTCACCTTGTCTTTCGGCTTCACTTCTCCCAAAACGTGGTGCGGAATTCTGATAGGTAGGTACACCTTTCGTGCTTTGGAGACCCACGCCATTGATCTTCAGTATACAGATCTAAGTGATGGTGATTTTCGTAAGGTCAATTTAACGGTGTATTGGTTGCTATCCGGCGGGTCTATGAAGAGGTTCACTGTCGTTTGTAACTGGGCTGGATTCGTAATATCCAGTGCACATATACACTTGGCTTTCATTTGACAGAAATAAAAACTAAAATCCCCCCAAATGCACCCTTTAGAGCCTCTTCACATGGACTCTCTCGAAAGTAAACTGGGGAGCGAAACCATGCCACACATAAAATCATAGTTACTTCCCCCGATACTGTGACTTCTGGCCCTCAATAAAATTGACAAACCTAGTAACGCTAAATTACCGGACGTGAGTTAAACCAACATTCTTGGATTTTTCATTGATAGGAAAACAGGAAACTCAAATTGTTGCATACCATGTGTAAACTTGTAGACATCTGGAAGACAGGAAAATCAAGGTCTTCGTTCAACTCTATACGTGAAACCCATAGACAGTGTTCTTTCAAGAGTAACGTATTATTCTCCAGTCTTACTCAACCTGCACCTGTAATTTAATACGGACAATTCAAGTCTGATTGTACATCTGACGAATAAGCGGATAAGGGATCCACTCTGGGTTGATACAATCAGACTCTTTTCAACCAAATGCTTTACCGTACAATCATTCAAACACTCGAAAGTTCTATAACTTTTGACTGGATACCACTCACATACAACATATTGAATAGATTATGATGGTCATTTGCTTTCCTCTGAGCTATGACATTTAGTGGTGGACGCGAAATGAAACCTATTCGAACATTATATGCCTTGATTAACCTTGAGTATTGTTCAATTGTAAGTTGAGAAGGAGATTTTTTACCATACTGTGACCTCTTTGACCTTGAATTTCCTACGGTCACACTAGTAGATAATCGTCATTGGAGCGAAATTGTGCTGTTTTTTGTTGCTATGCTGTATGCTTCGTTATTGATTGGTTTGCTCGATTCGCCCTTGATTTATCGATGGCTGTTATTCTTCTTAAGTTGATTGTTGCTTGGATCTATGTCCACATATCTGTTGATTGACTTTTCGATGGAA